AAGACGACGGGGCAGGAGCAGTTAAAATCCCCGGAGCAATAATCGGAGCGCTGATCTCAATGATAGAGATGTTGTAGGGAATCTGCTTAACGGACTTGGTGTAAGAGGAGTCAAGTTTGGACCCGGGAATGGCAGAGCCGAACGCGACTTTTCCACCTTGGAGATCGGTGATGTTGACAAAACCCAGGTTTCCAGGGGCATTTCCGGTGGTTTGGTAAAGAGTGGTAGTGAGGGTAGTGCCCTTAGAGATTTGGTGGAGCTTTTGCGGGTCATAGTAGTCTAGAAGAACGTGAAGGCTAAGGATGTTTTTGATGACGGTAAGGGGATGTTTGGCGGTGAGGGCAGACATGGCCCCATTGCTGAGGACAAGGCAAGTGATTGTTTCTCGGCTGTTGATCTCATCGGCTAGCTTTGTTTGGGAGAGGAAGCTGTTGTAAACAGAGTAATCAGGGAAGCCGTCGAGAATGGCAGTAATATTGTGGGCATGGGCTGTAATAGCAACTAAAGAGAGCGTGAAAAGGAAGAGGTTGAGTGGGTAAAATGCGCCCATCATGAACGTTGAAGAGATCGGCGGAGCTCAGCCAGTTAAGAAGCAGAGAGTGAGATTCTCTGTGGAAGAAGTAAGAGGAGCTAAAAAGGATTGATTTGGGAGGAGGGTTGAAGAGGGCGTTAGGATTTTAACCAGGGTTAAGTTAGCTGGAAAGGATGGGGCCACGTGAGTTGGGCAGGCATGCTTTGGTCACAGCTGGAAATGTGAAGGGTTTTGCGGGTGAAATGCTTGTATGCATATTTTTCTCATTTTGTGGAGGTGAATTGACAAGAATGGACGTCAGTTTTTTGATTATCCCATCATTGAAGCTATCCGTTACGATGGTTATGACTGATGATTGGTGGAAACGGGCATATAACGGCTATTATAACCCATAGGACGTACCGTCGGCTCTCCTGGTTACTCGTCGACGTTGGTTCAACCAATGGTCAATTCGTGGTTGAGTTTGAACTTTCGAAGCTTCATCTGAAGACGAAATCCAGCTTGACCTGCCTGCTGTGAAGAAGTTCGAACCCTACCTAAATTGGCAACGGAAGAGAAAATTTATGACGGGAGTCTGCTTCTTAGTTCTCAATTCTTACCCCTTACTATAGTATTAAATTATTATTCATGATAAACTAAAACATTATCATATTATTATTTATTTATTTACTTTTAACAAGCACTTTCCTATCCAACAAAATTAATTACTTATTTATTCTGGAATCAATTTTTAATAATTATGAAATTATGATCTGACAGGTTAATTTTTATGAATTGTTGAATTTTAATTTTCTATCATCTCGACTATAAGTTTTGAAAATAATTCTTTTGTCATAAGTTTTAAAAATAATAATAAATAGTTCTTTTAAAAAGCAATATTAATTGTAAAATCATTTCCATTCCATGTGAGTGATAATTTATGATTGTTTTAATTTTATGCCAAACAAATCTCATAATTTTTTTATTTATATTTAATACATTATCTGTATATAAATTTCATACATTATCCGTAAATCAAGTGTGATAATGTTGTTAACAAATAAATTTAAAAATTATAAATCTTAAAAATATATATTCATAAGTTTAAAATTATTTATTTTAAAATTTATCTTTACATATTTACAAATGGAAGTGATACTATGTAATTGAGTGATAGTGTTTACATAAAATACATTAACAATTTATGGAATACAATGTAACCAATAGTATTAATAGATTGTAGCAAAGTGATTTATTTAAATAATTTTTTATTTATATTTAATACATCATTGATTTATAAATTTTATACACTATCAATAAATCAAATATTATCACGTTATGAATAAGTAAATTTAAAAATTAAAAATTTTAAAAATTATTTTAAATCAAAACAAATAGATTTTTATATTAAAATTTTTTTAAATATTTATTTTTCCACATATATGAAATGATATTATGATATTAAATGATAAAGACAGTGATAGTGTTCACTTAGTTTATGGAATATAAATCCTTTTTATTATTGAAATTGAAGCTAGCAAAGCAATCATGATTGATCCAAAGAATCCCCTTTTCATACGCTTGTACCCCACGCCACTTCCCACACCCCAGCCATAATCTTCAGATTCCCTCTGTCATCAATATTCTGCAACTTAATTTTTCCTTTTGGTCTCTTGTTTGCGCGGGCCTCAGCATCTCATAGAAATAATGTTCTTCCTTTTACTAAAAAAAGGAAAACATCAGTCAGCCTTTTCTTTTAGCAATAGTGCATAACTTCAATGCTGGCGACCATCCTTTTCATTTCAAATACTGTTAACAGACTAAACTACAATAGCATCAGACAAAAAATTATTCTTTCTCCTCATTTCCTTTTTCTTTTTTATTTCCGTAAATTTTACTTACATTTTTTTTAAGAAGTTAACCTATAAATTTTATATAGTAAAATTACAAATATATCTTTAAATGTGAATAAATAAATTAATTTTTAAATTAAAAATATTTTAATATTTTTATTAGACAGAATTAATCGAATAACTTTATGAGAACAAAAATTATTGGAGGAAAACTAAATCACAATATGATTTGGTAAAAAAATCAAATGCGTTAATTAATCAGGTTTTCAACTCTGCAGGTGAACTTTAATGTCTCCTACTCTTACACTTTTGGGGGGTAGACCTTTTTAAAGTAACATGAACTTGTTTTAGGGACAATAATGCAGTTACTGATGGGGGCATCTTTGCATGCCTCAAATTGAAGCAAGGCAATCAAATCCCTTTCAGCTGTAAACACAAGCTAGCACAATAAAAATATCAATTTCTCATTTTTTTTTTTCTTCTTTTCCTTCCCGTGCGGTGAGAAAGTGAATAATAATATATATATATTTGGTCATTCACAAGATTTAACCTTTTAACAAAACTAAAGAGGGAACTTACATTTTTCACCTGCTGTCTGCTGACATTTGTCTCTTCAGCATCAACGCAAGGGTCGGGTGATTGCAAAGGTAATTTATGGATTAAGATATACATTTAATTAAGTAATTATATTTTTATTTTAGATAAATAAGTTATTTAAATTAAAATTTACTATTTTATGTCATGATAATAATAAAGTATAAAATTATTACCTGACTATTTGATTATATTATATCATCATTTATTACAATAAGTGAACAAGTCACATTAGTATCATGTGATATAAAAATGACATTATTATTTTTACTAATGAAAGTTAATTAGTTATCCATAATAACTTATAATGGGATGTTCAACATAAAATAATAAAAATATAGTAGATCAATTAAATGTAATAAAAATTTAAGATTGACTTGAATTTTTTTTATAATTTGAGAAATTTTAGATATTATACTCTTAAGGTAAGAAGGAAGGCAATTAGTTGTTTGTGGCCACGAGATATACATTTTGGTTTGTACCAACAGACTTTGATAATAGGGTTTTTCACTTATTTGCGGAAACTTAAATTTGCCAGCAACAAAGTAGCATCACACAGTTAAAATAAAATAAGGAGGAATGTGCAAAGACTGTTTTTCCCGTTGAAAATGCTACGTGGCAAATGACAATGTTGCCCCATTAAAGATTTCAAAGAAACATAGCTGGGTCCTCTCGCTGTCCGCCTCCACTCGCGGTGACAACTGGAGAACATTTTGCATAGAAGTTGAACTGGCATTGGATGCAGCTGTCTCTATATACGTGCAGATGCCATAAAAAAAGAGCGATTTTTGTATTATCACCTACTATTGTCAGGGGAGATAGGAAAGAAGAGAGAAGCCACAGCTCACAAAAAAAGAAAACCTCACCAGGAGTGTGTTCAAGAAAACTATTATAACAAAAATAATAATAATAATTAAAAATTAATAAATTTTTTAATATTATTAACTACATAAAATGTTAACATAAATAATATAATTAATAAAAAATTTTAACACTTCGATAATGTCGTCCGACACCATTTGTATTAACATGAGTTCCCTTTTGATCTTACTCAATGAATTAAAGCTCAAAGCGTATAAAAGATAGTAGTTATCTTGATTGATAAGATTAGACAAAATTTTGTGGGTATCATATTCATGTGATAATATTTAGAGTTAAATTAATAATAATAATCTCATATTTTCATGCTTAGATTAGTTGGATCCTAACGTTATCCTACTTTCACATAAAAAACATAATACTGTTAATTTTGCAATGAATCATATCTAGTAGTATGTTTGAGGTAGGGAACATACGGTAGATTTAGATGGGCCAACCTATCATGGAGGATTGTTTGGATTGAGCTTACTCTTCTCAATCATTACTAGGCCGAACTTCAAATCCAATTAATTTTGGACTAAAGTTCAGTTGAAATTTTATGGGCTTGAAAAGCAAACTGTCTTTGAACCCAAACAGTAACAAACGACAAGACAATTAAGCAACCATCGAACACTTGGTGGCACTTTCGACTGTCCACCTGTCACTGATGACCGTGCAGAATCGGGGCCCCACCTCAGCTAGCACGGCCTTTCTTTAGTGTGGGACCCACCATAACTGAAATCAGTGACGTGTCCTCTCTGCCATTTGCTAAGCGCCAGTCAATCGATCTGACAATGCGCGTGACACAACACAGACAAACTTTTGTCACCGTCTGCAAACGGCACCGGCTCTTTCAACGTTTCATTGGACCGTCCATGTCACACGCGGATTTTGAGAGTCGGGTTTGATCTTTGTAAGCATGTTAAAGAAGCTGAATTTTGCCTGCGGAGACTGCGAAAAAGGCTGATGCTGTCAGAATCCGGACACTCGCTTTAATCCTCACTTTATGTCACACACACACACTCACACTCGTCGCTCTCTCATAAAACTAGACCGAGCGAGTGATCATGTTTAGGTTCAAGGAGCTCTCTTTTGAAAATTCGCTTTTCAGTAGTTTTCACGAATATCTGTCCCATCTTCTCTTTTCCGCGACGTTCGAAGACAAACGCATAGTAATCTTGTAATTGATATCACTGGTTTCGGTCGTTCCTTTGCTATGTCGTCAATGCAGGCCCAACCGGTTCAAAGCCCACTTCTTCCAGATTCTGGTATTGTCTTTTTTATCCGAAATTTAAGAATTGGAAAGTATTACGGTTTGTTAATTAATTTTGAGCTTGTCTTAATTTTAGGTGGTCGTGGTGGTGGGAGTGGGACCCCGGAGAGGTCAGAGGACAAGGGAGGGTCGGTGAAGATGGAAGAGAAGGAGAAGAGGAAGGAAGGGTCGCCGTCGATCAGGTTGGGCCTCGGGATTGATGGGAACACGACGGAGAAGCCCGTGGTTAAACACGGAAAGTGTGTGTTTACGACAGCACAGTTGCATGAGCTACAGTTACAAGCGCTTATCTACAGGTACATAGCGGGTGGAATCCCAGTTCCTCTTCACCTTGTTATGCCCATTTGGAAAAGCGTTGCTTCCTCTGGCTCTGCTCATGGCGGCATCTATGATCAGTATCCAAGCTGTAAGCTTTCTTCTTTGTAACTTTTCTCTTCCCTAGAGTCAGATTTATTCATTCCATTTTGTTATGGAATTTGTTTTTTTTTTTGTAAGATTGAGTTTCTTATGTTTTCTGTTTGTTCATTAGAAATTTCTGTTTGCTTTTTCCTTCATGAATTTGTAAGAGCAAATTTCATGGAGATTGTTACTCTTCAAAGTCGAGGTTAATTTATTTTGTTTATTTTTAATTTTTCATGAATGTCTTTGATGTTCAATTATCGGAAAGGAAAGAAAAGATGTTTTTATGTTAATTAGGCTTGGTATTTGCGACGGTCTTCTGTTAATTGTTAAGCATAAATTAAATGTCAATTATTCCTGGGAAATTGAGTCTCGTTGTAAGCTTGACCAGGTTTTGCCTACTTGACCATGGAATTTGAGGTTCATTGATCAATCTTAACGTAAGTTAAATTATTGGATGAATTCTGTTGACATTAGTTTAAATTTAGCCTGACAGACATTGAAAGGGAGTTTTTCTTTCACTAAAATGATTTGGTTTCAGTGATGTGAATTTGGATGAAGTTAGAATACTTATTTCGCGTTTCTTATTTCAGTTGTAGGATTCAGTCCTCAAGGACTTGATTATAGGAGCATGATGGATCCAGAGCCAGGGAGGTGTAGAAGAACTGATGGGAAGAAATGGCGGTGTGGTAAGAATGTGATTCCTGATCAGAAGTATTGTGCACAGCACATGCATAGGGGTCGTCAGCGTTCAAGAAAGCCTGTGGAATCTTCTCAAATTACTTTGCCTGATACAACTCTATCAAAAGGATCAAATAAAGAATCAGAAAACTCAAAAAGCCTTTCAGCCACTGTAAATGCTCAATACACGAACCCATCTTCCTGTAATACCAGCACAAGCCATGAGAGAACTGCTACCACTGCTGTGGATAGCAACAATATGTGGAGCAATAGGAACTCCATTTCCACCAATGCCATCACTAGCACTACCGTCATTACCGCAACAAACAACGATGAGAAAAATGATTGCAAAAGGAACAAAAACTTCCCAAAGACCAGTAAGAAGAGAGAAGAGAAAGTCTCTGTTAGTGATAATATTATCATCAATAAAAGCAGCAAGAGTGGAAACAACGCCACTGTTGGTAATCGGATATCCCCTGGTGTGGGCTTTTCTCCAAAGAGTGTTCTTCAAGGTAGTGTTGTAAAAACTGAAATAATGCTCTTGTCATCATTCCTAACGCTAGCCGATTTTCAGAACCCTCCTATGCCCTTTCTGATTTGGCTATGATATTTTATATATCATTTAATTTATAGGTCTTTCAAATATGCTTAAACTGCATGGGTTCATGGTTTTTACTTGTATGAATCATTTGATGGTCCCCATTGTTTGCCACTCTTATATGTTAGCATGTAACTTGTTGCCCAAAAGATTTCTTAGAAGGTTCTTTATATTTATGTTATTCTACTTTTTTTACTAAAACATTTTAGTTTCTGAAGTTCATGATTATGATATAGATGCTCAAAAGTGCTGGGCATTGTGAAGTCTATTACCATAATCATTGTTATTAGTGCTCGTACTATTTAACTAGAATTAGTTCTAATCACCATGTGTTGTTATGCACAGCATTGAACGTAACAGTTTAATCCCTTGTAGAACCCTTTTGATACTAATTAGAATCGCTTTTCTTGTTATTATTATTTCAGTTCTAGGCAGCAAAAGTTCCCGTGGTTACCAAAATGAAATGGAACTTGAACCAGGGAGATGTAGGAGAACAGATGGGAAAAAATGGCGGTGCAGCAGGGATGTTATTCCTGATCAGAAATATTGTGCACGGCACATGCACAGAGGTGCAAAAAAGCATGTGGAGGTTTCTCAGCCTGTTGCCATTCCTACTATTGGTCCACCTAGTAGATTAACAATAGCCAACAAAGCGGCTTGTGCAGTCCTGAGCACCAGCCTTTCTATTTCAATTCCAAGTCCTCATCTGATTACACAAGAAGAAAAAAGTACGAGCTGTAGCAGTGAGACTACCATCAGTGACACCACCATCACTGTCTTCGAGAATGGTAATGTTTCTTGATGTGATCTTATTTGTGGAAGGTTAAACTTTTTTGAGCTTAGATCCAATTTTATGCCAACTCAAGATGATTGAGGTGTTTCTTCATAAGGACAAGCGAGAATATTAGGTGTCATTCTGCACTGAGCTATACTCAAGAAGTCAGAGATGAATGATGATCAGCGAAGCTTCATGCTGGGCACATTACTTCTTTTTTATCAGATCTCTGACTTCTTTTTCATGTGCCAATGCAGTTGAAAATTTTGTTAAGATAAGAAAGGGTGCCTTCCTTGGTGTGTTCTGGTGGGCAAAAGTAGATGAGTTCCTTCATATATGGCCTTGTATAAGCTCCTTGATTATACTCCAATGTTTTAATTTCCCATTGGGTATTTCTATTCAATCATGTACTGCAATTGCCATTAGTTGGAAGGTTTGTGATGAATCTCTGCTTAACTTTGCACAGATCCTACAAGAGTTTGTAGTGTTCTTGAGTACATGCCAGTTTTTGGTATAACATGGAGTTTCAAGCGCAGCCAGTTTTAGTTAGTTTCGTATCTTTTCATTCTCCCAAAGGAATTCTGTTTCCATTTCTCTTTTAAAAGAATTTTTTTGACGGTTTGAAATAATAAATTTAATTGAGAATAATTTTTTTTCTAAAAAGTATGTAAAATTACTAGTAAGTGTAGGGATGTTAACAGTTAAGATATTCGTAATTTTTAGATATGCTAATCTGAATTTTATTATTTGACAAGATATTGAATTCTTATAAAATTTTAATTAAATCTTAAAATTATTACTTGAATCTATACTTGAATATTTAAGATATATTAAATACTTGAACTTATTAAATACTCAATTATAATAAATTTAAAATAATTCTCATGTATATTAATAATAAAAATTAAATTAATAAATTAAAGTTCATAAAAAAATCAAAAATTAAAATTATATTTAGAATAATTAATAAATTGTAATAAATATTACATTAATTATAAAGTATTTATAAAAATTATATAAAATTAAAATTTAATATTAAAAATTATTATTTGTAATTGAATTTGAATAGTAATACATTAATATCACCACTTGAATCTGTGATAAATAATAATTGTATTATTTAAAAATTTCCTGAATTAAATTATAAAATATTTTAATTTAATTTTATCAAATTAAATAATATAAGTTACTCATTACCATTTCTAATAAGTAACAACAATGAAATTATTGTTAATTATTACTCATAATTCTTCTAAGTTATTTTTTAAATTTCCAACTATAAATTAAATTAATAAAATCATCATGATGGAAAGAGTTTACCTCGAGGTAAAAAAATGGGAGAGGTTTCTTGTTTAAGAAGCAAAAATTTATTTTTTAAAAAAAAGAGAAATATAGAGAAAAGGGCAATAGGATTGTTTTAGCTCTCATTGGTCTTCCTTCGAGTCTTCAACAATCACTGAGAAGAAATCACTTGATATTGGTGTCAAGTCTCCATCATGGTTTTTCCTACATCAAACTGAAAACAAAGCCGATTTTTTTGAATGCTTCTCGATCTTTTTGTTCAAGCCGGATTTCACCATCGATTCCAAGGGTTCAACCCACAAGCCCAAAGCCCTTTACTTTCCGGAACGAGTTTAACAAGGTTCCATCTGGTTTCTGCAGTGTCCTTGGGTGGTGCTGTTGGTGCTGGACGAGTACTGTCACATGGTTTTATTGGAGGAAGAAGGAGGTTTCATCATTCCAATCTGAACTCACAAACGCAAAGCACATCCTAAGCCCTTTTAAGGGTCTCAGAGAGTGCTACAAAATACCTGGCTACAGCCATTTTAAGCGTTTCATCAGAAAATTGGACTGCTGGTGAGGTAATAACTACTGCTCTAGTGGGTTCTTGTTTGTTGGTCATAATTTTTGGGGGCAAGATAGAAAGAGTTCCATACTCAGAAAGGTTTCATTACGCGCTATCTGATAAACTGGAGAAGAAGTTGGGGAATAACAATGGAAGAGGTTTGAGAAGGAACATAAAGGGAAAATTCTGCCTCCATCTGATCCTTGTGCCATCTGGGTTCAATCCATTGCTAGAAAGATACTCCAAGCAATGGATAAAGGATTAATGCTCCAACGTCGGTACAAGATCACTTCACAAACCTCTGAAAGTTCAAGGCTGCTTAACGATATGACACAGAATTTCGATGCCAAAGGGAGTCTCTCTCCATGGCATTCTAGCTTATATCATTAATAAAATTCTATCTTTCAAAAAAAATAAAATTGTATTTATGTCCTCTCAGCTATCTATGACATTACACATGCTGGGTTCCTGCTTGTTGCCAAATGGTTCATACATCTACTAATTAGTAACTATTTGCTGTGTGCTTGATTTCTGCTAAACATGATTACCCGGATTTTAGTCTTTACGACTTGGTTTTTCTTTTTCTTCCAGAAGATTATGTAGAAGTTCCTAGTGACATGCGGGAAATTGAACTCAGTTTTCCTCCAATATGAAGTAACATTTGCCTTCATCTTAATTTCTTGTCTCTCTCTTTGTTTTTGAACTGAAGGAGGGAGGCAGAGGCAGATTACATTGGGTTAATGTTAATGGCTTCGGCGGGATATGATCCTCAAGTGGCACCTGGTATTTGTGAGAAGCGGCTGGGGAGTTCATCACGCTTTGACTTATTTGCGACTCACCATTCTGGACAAAAGAGAGCTAAGTTGTTGAAGAAGCCCAAAGCAATGGAACTGGCAAAACAAGTGTTCGAGGAAGTGAAAGCTGGCTATGGCGTTAGAAGTTTTGTTTAAGATCAATTTTTCATGAAAAAACTGATTTCCCGCAAGTCTTCTTCCTTTTTTTCTAGTGTAGGAAGGTTGATTTTCGTCTGCGAAGGATGATGCATTTTAACACGACTAAAAACGGTTTAATCTGTCTGTTTCTATTTTTGATCGGCTGGTGTCGTGGTGTAGTTGGTTATCACGTCAGTCTAACACACTGAAGGTCTCCGGTTCGAGTCCGGGCGACGCCATTAATGTTTTCTCGTTTGAAATACATTTGGTTTTATCTTTCCCTTTTGCTGCTGCTGTCTTGATTGATTCATCAGTTCCAAGCTAAAGAAGGTTTGAACGTCTCAAATGCATTTGGTTTGTGTTGATTTTGTCACATTCACTATCTTATAAATTTACACTGTGCATAGGGTCATATAAGCAAATCAGAGAAACATAACTGTAACTTCTGCACTCGCTTGGTTCCAACAATGCCATTGGCAAAAATTAAAGATATGCAGAAAGTTTAATATAACAAAAAGAGCCTTGCCTTTGGAGTATACAATGATGGAGGGTTACAATAAAACCTTTGAAACCCACTTTGGTCTTCTCCAAGTTTGAACAATACATTCACAGGTTTTTGCACACTATGCTAGTAATTTTTGACAGCCTTATAGCATTACATCTGAAATTAGAAAAAGGTCCTAATTTTTGCAGATACCCATAGGATCTGCATTCTTGATTATCCAAGGGTGCTCCATGATCTTCTGAAGAGGGAGCCGTTTTGAAGAGTCCTTCACAAGAAGCTGCAAATAAGATTCAAGTACTTGGAATTTGAGATGTCAAATTGTTTACATTCATTCTTCATAACCAATGTCTATTTAAAGGAAGTTGAGGGACTGGTGGGCAGAGTTACCAGGCTGATGAGATTTTGAGCTTCCATTGAGACATGAGGAGTGGATGGGAAGCTCAGGTCGACGTCCCTGATCCTGTAGTGTACAGCTTGAGTCACTACCTTGATTACCACACCATATTCCAATCTACATTAGATAAAAGCTCAAGAAACCACCCATTGCTGCATACCTTTTTAATGTATCATTTTGACTCTCGGCCTCAAATGGAGGAGCGCCGTAGAGGAACTCATAGCAAAGGACGCCTAAAGTCCAGTTATCAACTGCATAATCATGAGCTTTGTTTTCCACCATTTCTGGCGCTAAATAATCCAGAGTTCCACACATTGTGCGTCTCTTGATTCTTGACTGTACGGACCACCCAAAGTCTGCAATCTTCAACCGACCCTGTACAGTAATAGTGGAATTACTTACGTTCAGACACAATCAACAGAACATTAAACCCAAGATTTGATTTCAGACAAAAATTCCCATGCTGGCCTGATGCACATATCAAACAGACCCATTGATACATCTTGAATGGATTTCTCAACAGGGCACAGTTCTGGAAAACAAGTGGATGCCAAATTAAGAAGAAAAAAAAAATGAAATGACAGCGGCTTACCTCATGATCAAGCAGCAAATTTTCCGGCTTGATATCTCTGTGAATTACATGTTTCTCATGACAATATGCCAACGCTTTTGTCAAACTTGCAATGTACTAAAAAAAACAGAAACTCAAAAATGGCGACAATTTTAGAAACCAAAATCTATATATAAGTTGAAAAATTAGAGATTGGGTCATTACCGTGGCAGCTTGCTTCTCACTGAGATGACCATTTTTTCTAAGCTCCTTATAAAGCTCACCCCCATAAGCATACTCAAGAATCAAGAAAATTCGTTCGCTGTCGTGAAACCAACCGTAAAGCCGCAGTATATTTGGGTGACGAAGGCTGGTTTGAATTTCCATTTCTCTCCTCAACTGATGGTGGATCCTGTATTTCTCTATCTGTTCCTTGAATATAACCTTCAACGCCACAATGTATTTGCTCTACAAAACGATATAAAGAATCCCCCCCAAAAACATTTGGAGTGAATAGAGAAGGCGTTTTAACGAGGGAAAAAACGAAGAACAGAAAAAGAGAGGGGAGAACCTGGACTTCTCTGGCGAGATAGACTCTACCGAATTTGCCTTTGCCCAGGGGTTTTCCGATCTCGAAGTCTTCCAAGGACCATTTTCGTTTTGGATTTCCTTCTCCTTCGTCGCTTTGGGAAATCATTTCCCTGATTCCGAGACGATGCCCAAATTGATTTCTTCTTTTCTTTTTCAGAGATTGTACAAGGACTCGGGGATTGAAATCAGAGAGGAGCAGCAGGGGAAGACGATTTGGGAGGAATTTGAATTTTAGAACCCGCCCATGTCATTTGGGCCCAGATCTTTCCATGGGCCGGGATTATAGCCCAGATAACTTGGGCCCACTCTACCGTATAGTTTTTTATTTTTACTTGGTTTAATTAAAATCCTACTTGGTTATTTCAGTGTTATGTCTGATTAATCAGCCCTCTCTAACAGATTCTAATTAGAAAGTCCAAATTGGACTTTGAACGGGATGGTTACGGATAATTCTAAAGGAGCTCATGAATCGAATTAAACGGATTTAATTAGGGTAAGCTTAATTCAGATTTTTACTGTAAAGCACTTGCCAAAAATCGAGTTGAAAAGTCAAGTGATTAATTAACTCTTAAATATTTCGTACAAGCAAAATATTTTGCTTATAATAAAACAAAATTGTTAATTAAAAGAAAATAAAAAAGGGAAAAAGATTACATTCATACGATAATAATAATTTTATCAATTGATTATATTGCACTTCCCTCCCAGATTCTCTTCAAGCACGAGAGTGATTTGGTGACGGGATAATTATTCCCTTTTCGTTAAATGGTTGTGATTCATGTTCTGCAAGGATAAGGATTGCTATTTGTTTTATAAACCATTATTTATTACTCATTTAATTTATTTATTTCAACCCGAATCGCTTTTCAAATTCATAATATTTTATGTCAAAATTCTTTTTTTTTTCTCAATTTATATGTATATGGATCTATGTAATTGTTTTACAATTAATATCCTATACATTCTTTTTCCAGGCGGCTGCTCGTATTTGTTTATGCTACCCGAAGATGAAGATTTCTCAATTGCTCTTGTTCGCTACTTCCGCTTCAAATTAGCGGATGGCATGGCAAATATATAACTTATAGGAACACCTTGTCTCTTCAAATGAACAAAAGCCTTCATATTTGTGCTGTTCCAAGGATGATTCAATGAAGTTCAGCACATGAAGAATTGCTTGCCAAAATACTTCAAAGTTTTAATACAAAGATCGGGATGCCTCCTCGACAGCTTAGAATGTTGGTCCTATATGAAATTAGAATTTAATAAGAAATGATCGCGATCCTGGTCCTTGTCATTCTGCATTTGCTGGTTTGCAATGAAACATTGGCCCCTGGTTCCTTGATCATGGTAGACTGTACTGCAATTTATGCTTCAGCATCCATGGACGGATATTAACTGTTGTTCACTTCTTTTTCATTAATACAATCTACATATTTAGCTGAGAAAAAAAAAGAATTTAATAAAAAATCATAAAAAAATCACTGAATCTAGAATTAAATTAAAATGAAGCAACCTGATCCATCACTGAAACCTGGTTTGTAATGAGGATAATGCTTTTTCATTTTTTACATATACATACTAACATCATTCTTTCCATTCACAAACATTTCAACAAATTTAATTTAGAATTGTACAATTTTAAAATGTTCTATTAAAATTATTTTTAGTAACATTTTGTATACTATCATTATAAACTATGACAATTCACATTAGATTGATGCATGCTTTGATATCATTTTTAACAAATATAAATATTAGTTCGATAACTTTTTAAACTTAAACCATATAATTTTAAAAAATAATCTCATATACCCGATTCAACTTTACCCTTCTAACCCTTTCTCCACACCTCTCTCTTTTCTCTTTCTTTTTTTATTTTACTTTACTCTAATTTTTTTTTTTTTTTTTTTTATAATTTTGGTCTTCACTCTTTGGCAAAAGCTGACTAGCTAAAATAGTGAGATACTCAGTATCACTTGCCTAACGAGGCTAATTAATTTATTGTAGAAAAATCAGATCGAATTATTTTAAAAAGTAAACCCGCGTTCCATATGTAAATTTAAAACGCATACGCATACATGAACATTAACGACATATGTATTGGTTATTTAAAGGCTTGGATTTTCCTGTATTCACAGCTTTGTCAGAGAATTCATCAGAGAATCATAATGGAGATTTTATCTACCATCTTCTTGTTGATGTCATTGACAATACTGTCCCTTTTTCTAATCCTGTCTTTTCTCATTATCAGAATATTCACCGGTAAATCCATCAATGATCCTAACTACGCGCCGGTGAAGGGCAGTGTTTTAAACCAGCTCTTATACTTTAGCCATATCTACGACTACCAAACACAAATTGCCAAAAAACTGCCCACTTTCAGGTTACTTGATATTGCACATAGTGTAATCTTCACAGCCGATACGCGAAACATAGAGCACATTTTGAAAACAAATTTTAACAAATATGAAAAGGGTACACATCACCAGGAACTTGTTAGAGATCTTTGGGGACAAGGGATATTTGCGGTGGATGGACAAAAGTGGCGGCAGCAGCGGAAGCTTGCAAGCTACGAGTTCTCGACGAGAGTTCTTAGAGATTTTAGTTGCTCTGTTTTCAGAATATATGCTGCCAAACTGGTTAGAGCTGTTTCGGAGCTAACGGCGTCGAGACAGGTTATTGAATTCCAAGTGACTAACTCGATCTGTGTTTTCATTTAAAAAAAAAAACAGAGAGCCAGAGGTCAAATTTTGAGTGTTTAAGTTATGGGGTAATCTGGTTGCGTAGGATTTGTTGATGAAATACACAATGGAATCGATGTTCAAAGTTGGGTTTGGAATTGATTTAAATTGCATGGAAGGGTCAAGTGAAGAAGGAACTACCTTTGTGAAGGCTTTTGATGATGCGAATGAGTCGCTGCGCTTGCGCTATTTCAATACCTTTTGGAAGCTGAAAAGAGCTCTCAACATTGGCTCCGAAGCCTCCCTCAAGAAGAATATCAAAGTCATTGATAATTTTATTCACAATGTTTTAAGCGCCAAGAAGAAACTGCTAGCAATGAACCCAAATCCTGTGAGTCATATTTTCCTCTAAATTGGGTGGTTGTTTAATCTTATTATTACTTGGATAGTTAATGCTTTAGTTATTTTTTTATAAAAAAATTTCCTAACAAAGTAAAAGGTGAAAAAGCAAAAATTCAATTGATTAAAAAGAGATAAATAATTAAATGTATAGCACATTTAATTTATTTATTTAAAGTCTTTCTAATGTTTTGTGTTGCTAAACGTTGATAATTTTTTGGGGATTTAAGAATGTCAAAGAAGACATACTTTCAAGATTTTTAATGGAGAGTGAGAAGAATCCGGAAACAATGACTGATCAATATCTAAGGGACATAATTTTGAATTTCCTGCTTGCTGGCAAAGATACTGCTGCCAATGCTTTGTCCTGGTTCTTCTACATGCTCTGCAAGCACCCCTTGGTACAAGAAAAAGTTGCACAAGAAGTAATAGACATTGCTTGCAGCAAAGGAAATGACGCTAGCGTTGATGACTTCATCACAACCATAACCGATGCAACTCTTGAGAAAATGCATTATCTTCATGCAGCATTAACAGAGACCTTAAGACTGTACCCTCCAGTTCGTCGGGTAAATTTGCTGAAAATTTGCATAGATTGATTTTTGCTTTCGTTCTTATTTTGCTGAAAATACTAAGGTTTGAAGTTTAGGATCTAAGATTTCTGTTGTTGTAATATATGGATGGGTCATATTACAACATCTTAAACATAGGCATTTCTTCATAGCATTTCTATAATTAGATACTAACGTGGGTAAATTTGGTATCTTTATTGTATATCAAGGATGGAAGATGTTCACAGGCGGATGACATTCTCCCGGATGGACACAAAGTCAAGAAAGGAGATATGGTTGCCTATCTGGCCTATCCCATGGGTAGAATGCCTTCCATTTGGGGAGAAGACGCTGAGGTTTTTCGACCAGAAAGATGGCTTAAAGACGGAGTGTTCCAACCCGAATCGCCTTTCAAATTCGTGGCATTCCATGTTTGAACTCTTTTTCCCTTTTTAATATATATATATATATATATGCATATATAATTGTCAAACACTAAGAATTTATCTTTTGGCTTTTGCATTACTTCCTGCAGGCGGGTCCTCGAGTTTGTTTAGGCAAGGAATTCGCGTACCGGCAGATGAAGATATTCTCAATTGCCCTTGCTCGCTACTTCTGCTTCAAAATTAGCTGATGATACAAAAATTGCAACATACAGAGTAACATTCACTCTTCAGATGCGAGGCGGCCTTCAACTTTATGCTATTCCTAGGACAACTTAAACCAGTTTCCAGAAACATGGTAGATTGTCGGCTGGAAAAATGCTCAACCCCTTGCTGGTTGCAGTAACATTAGTTCCACTTTCCTTTTCTTGTTTTGTGAAGAATAACAACTGGATTGTCTCATGTCGAGTTCCGATTTGCTTTTCTAATGATTATGAAAATGAAATTTGGTTCACCTTGTTTTGGCGACAGGTAAATAAATAAACTGCATCAATTTCTGATTCTAACCTTAACCCATACTCCACTTTTTGATAAAGAATTTATTATTTCTACTATTTCTGGCCAACAGTTGAGCCGTAACTCCATAGCCAACACTGATGGTGGCATAGCGGAGGCGCACCTCCAACCATAGATAACTTTCGCTTTTGCTTGTATGTTGGGCCATTATTTTCCTTGCAGTAATTCAGGATCCTCCTGTAGACTGTTTTTGGCTTGCAGTGAGTTGTCAGGGTCAGAGGAGTACCTCGACCTCGCTAGCTAATCATCGCAAAGCTTTGTCAGTTGAGCTCTCTGTGAACCATATAACAAAAAAAAATAAAATTGTGATAACATCATCTATTTTCTTTTCTAATTGCGTACGGCACAACTGATGCCAATTCTTGGGGGTTATTAACGTTGTTAGGCTTAATGACATAGATTTGTCATTTTCATTTATAAGGCCTTTTATCTACAAATAATTCAATCAATCATATAAGATTAAAACAAATCCAAAGATTTCAAAGTCTCCTTATTATTGAAATAATTATACTTCATTAATTAATGGCATGTAAAGTCTATTACCCAACTATATAAAATGTAATTTAAAATGGAGAGTGTAGAAAGAATCAAGCAAAGTAGTAAGACAAAAGTGATCAAGAAAATGAAATGTGGAAGAAGCCAATAGGACTGACTTATGCCTCTTGACTTTTTGTCTAATATGCTTGGCAATTGGCATCCTCAAAATTCAAACAACCCTTTCATATGGCGAATATTTTCAAGGACAAACTTAATTTTTGGTACCTTGGATTATCTATTTTCAGCATTCCCATTTTAATTGATTAGTGATTGGCATTATTGAATGAGCATCCCCGTTCAAATATCTTCTTCCAAATCTTGTTATTCTTAAGTTAAACTTAACATGTGATGAGGGTGGTTTTGTGGAGTTGGATAGTTGGTAGGTGAGTCTTGTCGCCAATTGTAATAATAAATAGAGAATAGAGAGCTTGATCATGTAACAGTGATATCCTAAGAATTGTATAAGGGTTTCATGAGAGGTGACTCACCTTATTCATTGTTAATCATTTAAGGCTGAAATAAGTTTCTAGCCTAACTTAATTTATAGCCATGTCATTATTCCGTTTATGACAAATTACTTTTCAAAAAATAAAAAAATTTAAACATATATGGTTCTACCATGACATAACACTGAAATAAGCTTTGAAATTATTTAAGAAAATTCAAATAAGTTTTTATTCTTAACTTATTTAACCCAACCATTACTTATAAGGATTTCTTTGATTCAAAATAAAAATAAAAGAATTTATTTGATTTAAAATAAAAATATAAAAACTTAATTGAATATAATAAAAGTAAGATTTATTTTAATTTTTTTGAATAATTTAAATTTTTTTTGAATATTATGCCTTTTACTAACTGTTGTTTTAATGATATTATTTAAGGTTATTTTTATAAAAAAAGATATTATTTAAAGTTATTATATTGAGTAATATCATTTTTGATATATTGAAAATCATCGCACTACCAATCAACTACTAAATTTAATAGAAAAATATTATTATAATATTTTAATTTACCATGAAAAAAGCTCTTAGAGCATGCTTGGTTCACTAGAAGGAATAGAATGAGAATATAATAGCCATTCCAAAAGAATATAATAGAGGAAGAATAACTATTATGTAGATTGGTTCATGGAAATATAATAGGATAGAAATTGCTATTAGTACTTATTTCATTGTTTGGCTAGTAGGAATAATTTTAAGAATAGATAAGGAATAATGGGTAAATGATAAAAATATCTTTTATTAAAATTTAAAGATTTTTTACTTAGAAAACAAAAATACCATGATGAGATAAAAAATACCCTTTATTAAAATTAAAAAATTTATTTTGTTAAAAGATAAAAATATTCTAAGTAATAAAATCAAAATAACTTTTACTATAAGTAAACAATATTTTCACCAAAATACAAACATATTTTTATTATCATTTAATAATATTTTGTATTAGAAGATAATTAAACATTTTATTATAATTAAATAATATTTAACATTATAAGACAAAACGTATTCTTCATTAAATTTAAATAATACTATATACTATTCTTTATTACATTTATTATATACAAATAATAATGTTAAATAATATTTAAATATTTTTCTTTTTTTTGAAAATGAAGTAAAAAATTTTGTGTCTTCTGTGCTTTAGAGAGAGGAGTGAGGAAGAGAGAGAAAAAAATAGGTTTAGCATTTTTTTTATAAGGTAATATTTTAAATTGTAAAAGGGTATATTTGTTTAATTAACTTCGTTTCTTATTCCCAACAATTTGGAATAGCTATTACCAAGAGGAGGGGTCTTGGTAATGGTTATTTAGGTTTCTCTTGGAATGGTTATTTCGAAGAATAGCCATTCTATTGAACCAAATGCAACTTTATCTTAGGAATTAAAATAGAGAAAGAATGGCTATCCAAGCACGTCCTTAACAATATTCGTAAACAAGACCCGAACTTAAATGATATACTTTTTTCATGCTTATTTGATTAAAGTTATATATGTTAAATTTACTTTAGAAATTAAATAGATTATCTGTGGAGTTGTTGATATTATAAATTTATAATTATCCGTACACTCCTTTAAAATTTTTGGAGCATGAGATTTGGTGGTAGCAACTGAATTTACAAGAAAAATCAAATTGATGAAATGGCAATTGTGCACGTGCAATCATTATAATTATTAAAAAAATGATTTTGTTGTTCATGCAAGATGACAAAGATGTTGGTGGTGAAAAAGATTTGATTTTATTGATAGATTGAAAAATGAATGGAACTCAATACAAGAATCTGCATATATGGCCTATAACCTTTCAGAGTATTCATTAGAAAATGGAAAAATGGATATTCTCTCTGCCATCTTCGTCTTGATATCATTGCCACTGCTCTTCCTCTTCCTGATCTTCTCTTTTCTCACAATCAAAATCTTCACAGGAAAATCTATCGGAAATCCTGACTACCCACCGGTGAAGGGCAGCGTTTTCAAGCTGTTGTTTTATGTCAACTATCTCTACGACTACCAAACCCAAGCTGCCTAAAAACAACCCACTTACAGGCTACTCGCGTTAGGGCGAAGCGAAGTATACACCACCGATACGCGAAATGTAGAGCACATACTGAGAACAAAGTTCGACAGATACTCTAAGGGTAAATATAACCGACAAATTCTGATAGATCTTTTAGGACAAGGGATCTTTGCGGTGGACGGAGACAAGTGGCGAAAGCAGCGGAAGCTTGCAAGTTTCGAGTTCTCGACGAAGTTCATAGAGATTTAAGCTGCTCTGTTTTCAGAAGGAATGGTGCCAAACTGGTTAGAGCTATTTCAGAGCTGGCGGTGTCGGGCCAAGCTTTTGACATGCAAGTGAGCAATCCGACCCTCGATTTTTTTTTCTCAGTCAATATAAGTATTTATTTATATAAATCACTGGGTTACAGTGAGTGGAAGTCACAAGACTATCCAGCAAAAAGAACGCCTGACTTACAATAATTGCACAAAACACCACCTAGATACAAAAAAACACCTAGATACAATAAACAATAATCATTTAACTCTTGAACAGGCCAAGACATATACGACCATAGAAACTTAGTACACCTAATGCACACCATTTGATCCCTCTAATCCGATCCTCAAATTAACTCAAAACTTTAAAGATGCTCACAATTTTGCTTGTCTAATCTTCCCTTTTTCAGTTTTTCATGTTGTGTTTTCTTTAATTTGTAGAATCTATTAATGACATGCACTCTGGATTCGATATTCAAAGTTGGGTTTGGCATAGATTTAAATTGCATGGATGGGTCAAGTAAGGATTGGACTACTTTTATGAAGGCTTTTGATGACTCCAAAGAGATGGTGTACTGGCTCTATGTCGACCCTTTCTGGAAGCTGAAAAGGTCTCTTAACATTGGCTCTGAAGCTGCCCTCAGATAGAATATCAAAGTCATTGATACTTTTGTTCACGATGTCGTTAGCACCAAGAGGAAACTGTTAGGCATGGAACGAGATTTGGTGAGCCATATATATTTAGCTACAAGAATTTCTTATGTCAATCTTGTTCTAACAAATATGGTGGGACTTGAGAGTCACAAGAACACTATTGGATTCAATCTCACTGCTTAAGATAATCTGGTTTTTGGTGTCGAAATTTATACTTTACTAATAATTGGTTTGTTTTTTCTTTTTCTTTTTATGGCTCAAGACGGTGAAAGAAGATATACTTTAAAGATTTTCAGTGGAAAGCAAGAAGAACCCAGAAGCAATGAACGTCAAATATCTAAGGGACATAATCCTGACCTTCATAATCGCTGGCAAAGATACTTCTGCGAATACTTTGTCCTGGTTCTTCTACATGCTCTGCAAGAACCATTTGATACAAGAAAAAGTTGCACAAGAAGTAATGGACGTCGCTAGTAGTAAAGGAAAGGATGCTAATAATGTTAATGATTTCGTGACGATCATAACCGATTCAACCCTTGGGCAAATGCACTATCTTCATGCAGCAATAACAGAGACCTTAAGGCTGTACCCTGCTGTCCCCGTTGAATGTTCCCTAAGAAACTTATAGATTTTGTTGCAGTCCTAGCATTTCGATAGCTGGAACATCATATGGTTCTCTCTTTGTGCTTCAAGGATGGAAGGAGTACAGAGGAGGATGACATTCTCCCCGATGGCCACAAACTCAAGAAAGGAGACGGGGTATATTACATGGCCTATGCCATGGGTAGAATGCCTGACATTTGGGGAGAAGTTGCCGAATCTTTTCGACCAGAATGATGGCTTAACAATGGAGTTTTCCAGCCCGAATCCCCTTTCAAATTCATAGCATTTCATGTTAGTATTCTTCTTTCCATTTCTACCATATGTATAACATTCATGTGCCTATATAGTTGTCAAACGATCTTAATCTTTTCCAGCTGCTGCATTATGTTTCAGGAGGGTCCTCGAACTTGCTTAGGCAAGGATTTTGCTTACCGGCAGATGAAGATAGTCTCAATTGCCCTTCTTCTCTTCTTCCGCTTTAAATTAGTTGATGATAAGCAAATTGCGACTTCCGGGACAATGTTCACACTTCATATGAAGGAGGGCCTCCATCTTTACGCTGTTCCAAGGACAAGTTGTTGAATTTCCAAATATTCTCCTGTGAAAAGTCATCAATTTGTTCAACTTCAAGTCTTCAACTTTGCTGGTTGTACATAAGAGTCCCGATTTGCATTTTTCTGTAATGTTGAATTGCTTTTTTCTGTAAATGTTGATGAGTGGAATTTGGGTCATTTCACCAAAAATGAAAAAAATATATGTACAATTCGAGTCATCTGGTCTGTATACCCTGACCATTGGCGGAGATTGGGACTCCATAGAAGCCGTATATGCCGTTTACAGGTGGCTAGGAAGCTTACAAGCAAAGAGTCCATGACCCTTGTAGACTTGTAATTATATTCTCTTTTGCCAGATCAAAACCCAAACGGAAAATGACAAAGATGACGGTCTGTTGATACATTTTTTTTTAAATTTAAAAAAAAAATTCAAATCTTACTTTTTAAGTTTAGATGCATTAATCAATGAGACAAATACTTAAGTGCTTTAATTAGTTACTTTTATTTTAATTATTATTGTTATATTATAGTCCATAGTTCATTTTTATTATTGTCAATTATTACTGTTATATTATATCTGTCTTCAGTCTCTCTCCTTTCTAAGCTCCAGATTGAAAGATGAAATTGGTTATTCTAAGCTAATTGGAAAAGGGAATGAAAATTATATATTTTCTCCCAAATCTAAAAATTTTTGGTTCGGTAATAGTGCAAAAGAGTAGCAACTTGCTTCGGAGTTAAGCTTTAGAAAGGAGAGAAGACAAATTTTGCGAGAAAAAGAAAGAAAAACATATCCTTTCCATCCACCCCAAATTTTGTAAGTGCGTCGGTAAATGAATTTGCTCTCCTTGGTGTTGCACCAAAGTGATATCCCCCAATCGCCCTTTTTAAACCATCAATCTCATTGAAAACATTCCAATACCTTCAATTTCTCGGATGTTCATTGTCAAACTCACGTCGATGCTACCTTTGACTCCATTCGATGATCAATTTTTTGGAATAAACACAAGGGAAGATTGATTTACTTAAGAACAGTCATGCGCATGGATCCTTTGTCATCTCTTAAAACGCTTTCACAGTCTGTGAATCTTAATTTACTTACAGTCGATCCATCCACATTTTCTCCATGTACGGTGTGAAGTGACAAGAAAGTAAAATATCATCACTGTTTTCCTCCATGGCTCTAACGCCGGAAACAAAGCTAATCACCATTTGTATTGTCGGACATACACCATAAAAAACCCTTAAGGAGAAAATCGTGAGGAATAACCTTTCTTGATAAAAGCATTTCAAAAATAACCATCAAAATAAATTTAATTATTTTTAGTCATGATATGATAAAAATACATTTAAAGCTATTTCAAATAAATTAAACCGTTCATCACAATTTTTCTCTATTTGTGCTTTCGATTTTTCTCTCTTGACATCTCACTCTCTCTAAATTTATCGATTTCTAGAAATGTCATTCGTTTACTATGCTCTCGATTTCTCTCTCGCACTTTTTAGATTTCTCTTTCCACCACTTTAAAGAAACCAAAGGATAGTTTTGATGTGCTTGAGTAGATGACTATTTAAAGATTTGATTTGTAGGTATTTTGAATAAAATTAAATAATAGAAATGATCACAGATGTTTGAAATAGCTTTTAATTGGATCAATTTGACATCTAAACACCAATAAACTCAAAATTTTAAAATTTATAAACTTAGTTTTTTAAGAATTTTTTTTTTATTTTTAGTCAAAATAGGTGTTTTGGATAAGAAAATTTGTATTTTGATTTATAAAAACATGTTAGAAACACTTTAATCGATGTCAAATTGTAAAAAAAAAATAAAAAGAAATAAAGAGAGTTGAGAGGATTTGAAGTTTTGGTTTGTAGGTAATAATAACAGTTTAAGCATTAAAGTGTAACAAAATGTTGTTGAATATTACGTGTAACAATAATATTTTTTCAACATGGTGTGTAATAACAGTATTTTTTTTCAATATGGCATGTAACAACCATTTTTAACCATGACGTATAACATGCTTTTGTTGTAACAACAGTATTTTTCTTTTAACATGGAGTGTAGCAACCTAACCATAACGTGTCACATATTTTTGTACATGGCATGTAACAACCTAATCATGACATGTAACATATTTCTGTATATGATGTGTAACATGTTTCTGCATATGGTGCGTAACAGCATGGCATGTAATTTTATTAAGGGTAATTTTATTCAACTTGATTAAAATAGTTAAAATTATAAAAAGATCTATTTTTGAAAATATTATCTTTAAGGGTTATTTTTAAAAATACCCAAAACCTTGGATTTTCAGTGGTATATATGATCATATTTTAAATAAAATATTCCTTAACTAAACAAAAGTCAATTATCCGAAAAGAAACAAATATTTACCATAATATTTTTAAATAAAAGTTCGTTTCTTTTCTTTTTTTTTTTGTCTACTATAAATAAATTTTATAGGCTCAAGTTACCAAAATGCTCATGAAAAGGAATCAACCACCAATCAAACTTGCCCATTTTCAAACCCATCAGACAACAAACAAATGCTGGGTTGAAATTAAGGTGAAAAAATGGCTTTGCAAGAGATAAACAGTGAGACATAGTCAAGAACTCAAAATAAAATGAAAATAAGCAACAAAAAAAAATCTAAGAATTTAGGTAGAGTCATCTCCATCCTTCAAAAATCTCATTACTCACAAAAAAGAAAAAAATATCATGATTTACATCAATTTATTCAATGACTTACATCAATCAGTTAAGTAGGCTAGGGATGTTGACAATTGCAAACCATGTTTAGGTGCTCGTATTTGGCAGTCATGTTCTACCATCAAATGAGAGTTTTCTCCACCATCTTCTTCTTGATTTCATTTGCGCGCACGACTCTTCCTACTCTAAATTTGTATTAACTAATCCATTAAATATCCTAGTGACCAACCAATAAAGGCACCGTTTTTAGCCACATCTTCCACTTAAGATATACCAACTTGTTGGTATCACATTGTTGCACCAACTAGCCAACTTTTCAGTTGTTAATTAGCTCCGAATCAAAGTGAATGCAACCAATGGATAACTAATGTCAAGTGCGTCGCTTAATTAATTAAAAAAATAAAAAATATTTGTAGTTTTAAAAAAAAAATTAACGTCCTTATCAAATCGAACACAATCAATGAGAAAATATCTTGAAGGGTTATGGAATAGGGTATTCTCGTAATTATTGAAATTTATTCATGGCTTATAAAACACACCAATGAGCAAATGTCAACTGTTGAGGCATTAAAGCCTTGTGAATGTTTAAGTTATTAATGATGATAGTGAATTTTATGTATACGTATTCAGAAAATTTTAATTTATGTATTTAAATTATCAAATCAAACTCTTTAAAATATTTTTTTAAAAAAAATTAATTTAAAAATCTCATCATTTATTTCGAAGATATTTTCACTAGTTTATACAATGATGTGATTTTTCTACTTGTTATAAATTATCTACACTGCTTCTTATGCAGTAATACAATCTTTTATAAGTTAATTTTACTTTATATTGAAGAAATATCTTGACAATCAAAATCAAAATTAAGTATCTAAAGATGTGATTTTACTGGCTAAAGATGTGAACATGCTGAACTTTATTTTCTGATGGTTAACAGGCAGGGCCTCGATTATGTTTAGGCAAGGAATTTGCTTATAGGCAGATGAAGATCTTCTCGGCTGTTCTGGTGCACTGCTTTGTGTTCAAACTGAGTGATGAGAATAAATCTGTCACCTACAGGACGATGCTCACTCTTCATGTAGATGGGGGCCTTCATGTCCGCGCATATCACAGATGTCAGACTTAAGTCTTTCTTGCCTATTTGACCACGGGTTTCTTCCGTTGGCTCAGCTCTTTGTACTAGGCAATTGCAAGGCTTGTATTTTTCCTTGCACAAGAATAAATACAATGATATCCAAAAAGGAAAATAAAGGAATAAATATGATGAAGAATTACTTTCACTCACCAAGTCTTGAACCATACTTTTGTCTGAAAATTGAGTTCAGGACACTTCTGCAAACTAAGTGAAACCATTTTTTTTTTTGTTTTAAAAAAAGGAAGTGAATTCAAAGTTGTTGAGATCTGAGACAACATTCTGCAAGTTCATTAAAATAGACCATATTTGCAAGTTCGAAATCTAGCAGAATATTTAATGAATAGAAAGTCATGATGATCGTAATGCAAAGTTTTAGGAAACAACAATTCAGTTCTCCCCCTGCCCTTCTAGCAGGGTGCTTCTTATCTCTCGGATTGAGAAACATGAAATTTCCTTGTTTGCTAAGCTTAATCATCTTTGTACTCAAGTTACTTGATTGTATCACATGCCTTGAAATAAAATTCTAATTAATTTTTCATCTGAATATTAAATTTAACATGATAAATACACGTATTTTCTTATTTAAAAATTAAATTCAAAAATCATTCTCTTTACTTAACTATAAAATAACCAATTAGAAGAGATATGTATGCCCTTTGTCATCATAACCATGTAAATACCCAGTATGGCCCTTGGTTTTGTTATTTGGTTGTGGTGAAATTTATTAGTAATTTTTTACCAATTTAAAAAAGATCACCTTGTGAAATTGGAGAGAACCACGTTTCGGGGCTTGTCCCAATGCAGTCCAATTAGGTTATGACACGTTTGGTTGGGAGGAATGACTTAGCAGAAGGACTTCTCTCCCTTGACATTATATTTGTATTACAAACCGACTTCGACTTCGACTTCTCCGGTTTAATACAGTCTTCACCTAACAGTGATAGAGCAGCTTACCCAAAAGTACCTCCATCTCCATGGATCTGTCTAACCCAGTTCCCTTGGTAGCTTTGGTTCTAAATCTAGTCCTGACCCTTTTCACTGTCAAGTTCCTCACAGCAAAACTAAGAGAAAGGCAGAGGAAAAATAAGGCCAAGTACCATCCTGTTGGCGGAACGGTTCTTAACCAGCTCCTCAGCTTCAAAAGATTGCATCACTATATGACTGATCTTGCAGGGAAGTATAGGACCTACAGGCTGCTTAGCCCTTTCAGGAATGAGATTTATACGTCGGAACCAGACAACGTTGAGTATATTCTCAAAACAAATTTCCAGAATTATGGCAAGGTATGGTGCCGACCCTCGTTTCACACCTCAAAGTCACATATAATTTGTTGGTCTAGAAAATTCTGAACTCTCCCCGTGATTGGTTAGAATAAGTAGCTTAGACAGAAACACCCATAATTAGATTAAGAAAAAGGGTCTCAATCTTGCCACAGGTCAATTATAGATGCTAATGTGATGCTGAGTGATTAATTGGAATCAAAGGGCTTTTCATAATTACAGGGCCACCCAAAAGGCAGAATGGTGGAGTTGTTTTGGTTTTCCAATTTGCTTAATTTTCTGTGCAGGGTGAGTACAATTACAGCTTGCTAAAGGGTTTACTAGGTGATGGGATTTTCACTGTCGATGGTGATAAGTGGCGTCAACAGAGGAAAGTATCAAGCTATGAATTCTCAACCAAGGTCTTGAGAGATTTCAGCAGCGTAGTCTTTAGGGAAAACGCTGCAAAACTTGCAACTATAGTGTCTGAAGCAGCAAATTCCAATGAGATAATGGATATACAGGTCAGTTCACCTCATGGCAAGATCTATGGCAGAGTGATATATAAAATGAATCTGTTGTAACGAAATACTGTGCAGGACTTGTTTATGAAATCGACTTTAGATTCAATATTCAAAGTTGCATTTGGAGTTGAACTAGACAGCATGTGTGGATCGAATTTAGAAGGCAAAGAGTTTACAGTTGCTTTTGATGATTCAAGTGCAGCAATCCTCTTCCGATATGTTGATATCTTCTGGAAGATCAAAAGATTTCTAAATATTGGATCAGAGGCCAAACTAAAGAAAAGTATAGAAGTGGTTGATAATTTTGTGTATAAGCTGATCCACAACAAGATTGAGCAAATGCGCAACTCAAAGGATGAATCTTCAGTGAGTGAACTAGAACAGTAGAGCTACTTATAGTTAACAGCTTATATTACCTGTTGAAGTAGAATATTGAAATTCTTATTTTCTACAGATTATGAAGATGAAAAAGGAAGACATTTTATCCAGATTTCTGCAAGTGACTGACACTGACCCAACATACTTGCGAGATATAATCCTTAACTTCATAATTGCTGGCAAAGACACAACAGCAGCTACTCTGTCGTGGTTTATTTACATGCTCTGCAAGCATCCTGATGTTCAAGAAAAGGTTGCACAACAAGTGAAGGAAGCAACTGACATGAAAGAGGTTAAAGATTATGCTGAATTTGCTGCTATCTTGAGCGAAGAAGCTTTAGGAAAAATGCACTATCTCCACGCAGCCATAACTGAAACATTAAGGCTCTACCCCGCTGTTCCAGTGGTAAGCAAAGTTGCCTTGAATCTTGAATTCTCCAACTGAACTTGTTAATGCACATCAAAGAACATGCATCTATAAACTGATATCCATTTAATGCGTATCTGGAATGCTAGAAATTAGCTTCCTTGCTATGTTCTGCGGTTTTCTTTGGTTCTCACTATCTCTTCACTTTGATTGCAGGATGCAAAGATATGCTTCTCTGATGATACACTACCAGATGGGTTCAGTGTGAGGAAAGGGGATATGGTTTGTTATCAACCTTATGCAATGGGCAGAATGAAATTCATTTGGGGTGATGATGCAGAGGAGTTCAGACCAGAGAGGTGGCTTGATGAGGATGGGATGTTCCAACCAGAAAGCCCTTTTAAGTTTACAGCATTCCAGGTATGCAGAACTTGTTGCAAATTAGAAATTGTTGTATGCTTCTTTTGCAAATCGGGCAAAGCATTTTTATTCTGATTGGCACTTGGTGTACGATAAAACCTCAAATAGAAAACAAGAGGGTAAAAAAGCAGTATAATAGCATTGATTCTGGTTCTAAGTCTTTTTCTGAAAGTTCAAACCACTCATATTGTTTCACAAGTGTGATTTTACCGGCTAAAGATGTGAACGTACTGAACTTTATTTTCTAATGGTTTACAGGCAGGGCCTCGAATTTGTTTAGGCAAGGAATTTGCTTATAGGCAGATGAAGATCTTCTCCGCTGTTCTGGTGCACTGCTTTGTGTTCAAACTGAGTGATGAAAATAAATCTGTCACCTACAGGACGATGATCAATCTTCATGTAGATGGGGGCCTTCATGTCCGCGCATTTCACAGATGTCAGACTTAACTTGGTCTTTCTTGCTTATTTGACCTAAGGGTTTCATCTGTTGGCTCTGTTCTTTATACTAGGCAAATGCACACTAAGAATATACTTGTATCTTTCCTTGCGCAAGAATAAATAGGATGATGTCACCAAGCAAAAAGGAAGAAAGGAATCGATATGATGGATGGTTACTTTCACTAACCAAAGAGTCTTGAACCGTACTTTTGTCTGAAAATTGAGTTCAGGCCAGATCTGCGCAGTAAGTGTAACCAAAGTTGTTGGGGCTTTAGACAACATTTCGCAAGTTCATTAAAAATAATCGGAACCAGAATACTTGCAAGTTCGGAATCTTGCTTGCCTTTCTAGCAGAATATTCCAATAAAATGAAAGTCCTGATGACCTTAACGCAAAACTTTACGAAACAACAGCTCAGTTCTCCCCTGCCTTCTCGCAGAGTCTTTAGCTCTGTGCCTCTTTTTCCTCGGAGTGAGAAAGATGAAAAATGTCATTGTATGTAAAACTTGATCATCTTAAGTGCTTATGAGTATGAAATGAATCCTGATGTTATCAATTCAATTTAAACAAAGATAAAAGCCATATATAAGCTATGAATTGAGTACGGGATGTCTATTGTCAGAATTCAACAAAACCAAGGACACCAATGTTCTGCAACAAAATTGAGCCCGCACTCAACAGCATGATAAATCACAATCATACAAGTGGACGCCAGACGGTTCATGCCAGCAGAAACTAATTGCCAATGTCAATTGATGAATATGCTTGAAGTCGAAATAGTCCTCAATGAATATCATGTACTCCCAGGAGGTAGTTGAGCTGCCCCCGGTCTTGAGGTCCATCCTTTACGACTCCTGTAGGCTTCAATAGCCTGTAACCTTAGCCTCTCCTTGGAAGCATCTTGCAAGGTCTTTGAACCCTGTAAAGCAGACACTCCTTGTTTGAGCCTAAAAAAATACTACTACAACGTTATTAATGTAACATCAAAAGATCATGATTACCTTCGGTACTGAAACCAACTTGGGTGGAGCTTCAACCACGTCTCCAAATCTTATGATCTCTCTTCCAGGGAAGTCCAAGTTCTCTTCTGTGTTAGCATTCTTATGCGTTTTCTTCTTTGATTCAAAATACCTACATAGATTAAAACCTGGTCAACTATACACAAAAAGGAAAAGGAATGCAGCATCTGCAAAGCAGAAAAATTCATATTCCCAATTCAGCAGATAATTCTATAATGTGGGATAAAAACTAAAACTTCACTAGAGGGTTATGTTACTGAACTTCATTATGTTCAGTCACACAGTCTACCACTACCATGGTGCAAAAACATCATTGGTACTCACTCTTCAAACCAATTAATTGCCAATTAAGAGAGCAAAAAGAGAAGGAAAAGTTACTTTTTCTTCCGCTCTTTTCGTTTAGAACTGCTCCCTGATTTATCCACCATTGTTTCAAACCGAAGGTCGGTTGCTTGCTTCCTCTTTCTTTTCCTGGTTTTCTTTCCATCTTTGCTCTTCTGCACAGTTTCTTCCTCACTATCTGAATATTGAGATTTAGTGAAATGCATATCATCACTTCCATCTTTGATTTCAGTAGCCTCTAACTTAATTTGATTCGCCGCGCGGTCTTTCTGCATAATGAATCAATCGACTTAAGCTTAAAAAAGAAAATAATCAGTACTTGAATTAATGATAATTACTCACCTTTTTCACAGTATCTCCATCCGCTGCTTTTTGGTCCTTCGAAACCTTCGCAGACCCTTAAACAAGGAACATAAAGCCGTTAATAGGTGGAAAAGAAACGAATTAATTTTCAAAAAGAAAATGAGAGGACAGAGAAGAGAACCGTGAAGAGAATCGGAGGTGAAGGACATGATTTTGCGGAGTTTAGAGGGTAAAGCCTCGACTTGAGAGGGATCAGGAGGCGGCGGGAGTCTGGCAGGACCACCATGAGCAGCTCTGTAGTTCTTCTCTCTCCTCCTCCTTCCTTTGCCTCCCATGTTTTTATCTCTTCCAAAATCTCTCAAAACGATGCAACCCTTACCCTGCTTGTCGCCGCTGTGGCTTGGTGATTCTTCTCTCTCTCTCTCGCGGACTGGTTCTCAAAGCAGTTACGTCGACGGCGAGAGAGAAGGAGGGCATCCAAGGAAAGGAAAGCCCCTTCCTTACAAAATGATTAAACCCGAAACCGCCTAAAAAACCCAACCCAATATTTCCAGGGCTGGAGCATTATTTATTACGAAAAAGTTTTTTCTGAAAAATTGTTTAGTATTACCAAAAATTCAATAATTTATAATATAATTTTTCCTTTTTTCTGTGAGAGATGATCTTATTAAAGAATACATTATTTATAGTGGAATTAAAATCGGGAGGCAATGATTTCTTAAAAAAAGTTAATTAATTAATAATAAGAAGAAATTTAAAAACAATATTCTAACTAAACAAGTAATTATACTATTATAAGAAAGTGCAATGTGCAAGTGATTTTCGCTTACATGGCATCTCCAATAGTAGTGCTTTTCTTGAGAGAGGAGTACTGGACTGGATGGTTATTCAAAAAGATGAAAAACGCAAAAAGGCAAAACAAGAGAGGCAACGGAGCGAGGAAGAAAGAGCCAATGTGCTCAGTCCAATTATAAATACACAAAAGATAGGAAACAAAATAGCTTGTCCTATATTCATTCTCTATTTTATCAAAAAGCAAAAATGAAGATCTCAAGCCTCGGAGTATAGTTTATCAATCTCAATGGTAAGAAACTTACCACTAATCAAATAAAAGAATCTGCCTAACAACCCCGCTGTTAATCACATATAGGGTTGTTCCCACTTGTGAATACATACATATTTTACATACACGAAGGCAGCTGGCGTCGTTAGCCATGTTATCGACTTGAATTCTTCTCTTACTCAAGGCAGACGCCAGGCTCTTTATGGCATCGACCCCCAGTGGAGTCTATGGTGCATCTTCTCTAGTCATTCTCAAAACCAATCAAAATTCAATGGCTGAAGACTATGACTTTATAAGAGGGCTTAGCCCTTCACCTTCCCAACCAAGCTTAAGCATCTGATCCACCACTTTCAAGCTCAACTGGATATAGCAAAGCCATGATAAGATTAAGTTCAACATCCACGTAAAACAACATAAATTCAAAATAATCAATGATTTTGAATACAAAGCATAACTTTAAAATGTTGTGTCATTTAACGATCATTAAACTTAAGACAGTGTTCCTACAAGTATCACTCAGTTTATTCATGGTACTCCACAGCATAAGGAGTACACACCAAGTAGAAGTCTTAGCAGCAAATGTCCAATGAAGCGGAAATATATTTCTATCAGGTAGGAAGAACCGCCAGCCAACTCTAAGGCTGCTCATTAGGAGGCTCATTTTCATATTTTTAATATGGACCAGCCAAATGTGAGACAGGTTATTTCAGTGCTTGCTTTTCATATTGTTCACGGAAAATTTCAGATATCCTTAAGTTTGATTGTTTTGAAGTTTTTTTTTTTTTTTTCTGATACAAGGAAGTCTAAAGGAGTAGGGATTCTGAAGTTTTGACCAAGCTTGGCTTGTTATAACATTTATCTAAATAATTACTCAAAACTATTTTATAATTGAGCAAATTTAAAAAAATGGAATAGTTGTAGCGTGTAATTAACACATGATAAAAGGAAAAAAAATAAGGCTATTCTATGCTTCAACTTAAATGTTTTTTAAAGTTGTCATTCTAGTTTGAAAAATAGCCTAGTCTCAAATTGTATTCCCACTGGAGTCTGTTTTCTTTTTCTTTATTTAGTCCACAAAACACTCCATATAATGCTTGTTACCCAAAGATTAATTTATGGCAAATTAAACAGGTCATATGAGAAATAAATCAACAAGATGTTATCAATCAAGCAATGCCAAGATAAGAGAAATTTTCTGCTAATAGATAAAAAATTAATATTTAGACTAAATGATTGATGGAGAGCCAAGATATGGAAAAAAGAAAGTCTTACGGCTGGATCTGTGAAAATTATCAACTGCTTATCTGCAGTTGACACTAGAAGATTCGTGTTATCCTTGTTCAAAGCAAGAGCTGTAATATCCTGGCTTTCTCCCAGTTTCAACACATGAAACACCTGCAAAGGAAAGATTTTCACCAGGTCACCGTTTGAGCAAAATGACAAAGTATTCATGAATCATGATGCGTGTGTTTAACATGCTTGTTGCATATAATAGATAAATCAGTAAAAAGGTTCTTATACCTTCAGAGTATGCAGATTCAAAAAGCAAATTGAGGGTGATGGAATATCCAATCTGTTGCTTTCGTTGGTTTCTTCTAACTCAAGATCCAAATTATTGATCACAGGTTTCTTAAAACTCAAGTCTTGGTTGTTATTGCACACTCCGTTGTTGCCCAAAGATGAGTTCAATCCAATTAGAGCACTCTCACCATCTACAGAAATTTCCATGCAACTGACACCACCCAAGGAAGGAAGTTCTGCTCTAGCAATCAGAACCCCATTGACAGTGAATGTGCTAAGAGTATGTTGAAATTGGTTCCAGGTTAAAACGATTCCCTCAGATGAAAGGCAGACAGCATCAGCTTCCACACCGGCAAACCGTCTCATCAAGCGACCCCTTCTTGTAGAATGCAACAGAACATCTGAGGAACGGCCACAAGAAACAACAATACCTAGATCTGAACTGACACAGCAACAAAGAATTTCCCTGTGGTGACCCCGAAGGACATGTATGGGACCTTCTATGCGTCGCTTCCTGCTTTTGTCTGCCAAGATGTTAGCTAAAGTACCACTACTAGTTGAGGTTGGTGTGCCAGTGCCAGCAGTTGGTTCTGATGTGTTGCTTGAGCGGGATGTCAATGCCCTATGAATCCTCCAAAGTAATACAGTAGTGTCCCGGGATCCTGTCACAAGATAGTTGCTATCTGATGATAGAGCAAGGCAAGTGACAGGAGCACAGTGTCCAAAAGCCGTTTCAAGTGTCTTTGCTCCATCAGACGACAGTAGTTTGATACTGTTATCCGCATGTCCACCTAGTTAAAATCCAGAAAGTATATAAGGAGATACTTTATAACACAAGAAATGCAGATATTAGTGCCAGCAGTTGGATTCAATGGCCGGGGAAGCATAAAAAAGCAGCACTTCCGACGAAAGCACGACTGATGACCATTACCTATAAAACTGAAAATTGGCATTTAAACTTAAAAGTACCCAGGTGCTACAAATTTTATCAACAATGGTCTAGCAGCCAAGCAAAATTGAAAAGTATATGGGATGGGGGGAGCTATAATGGCAAATTCAAGAGAAGGGTATTGAAAGTACTTAAATCAATGCTATAATCTTTAAATTTTTAAAACCTAAACCTTAAATCCTTTTAACATGCTATATTAGATCATGCCTCTGAACTAGAGATTAATCAACAGATTTTTCAGTGATTGATATATTTTTTTAACCAATTCTTCACCCTAAATATTTAAATATTGAACAGCATAAGATGGTCTTGTAAAGGTTCAGAAGATAAGGCACTGAAACTGCTATCATCATCATAAAACATAGTTATCCCTGCAGCATTCTATTGCTATGAAATTGAGAAATTAGACTAACGCAAAATGTTCATGAGAAGACAAGATAGTTTTAGACAGGCTAGCTGTCCAACCTTTTTCATTTACCCAAGCCATCAATACCATAATTTCCCTCATTTACCCAGGCATGGACCAAGATTTGTTAGAGACAACTATGCACATTTTTAACAACAATCCTAGTTCACTGGGTTGACTACAAAAGGGTTTACAAGAAAAGTTCAATTTAAGCACATAAAGCGTTCTTCAATCTTCAGAGTTCAGACAGTGGTGCATATATTAAGCATCCTTTCCAAATAATAACCACAAGGACCAAAGGAAGGATTCTACTGTGATAAAGAATTAGCAAACCAGAACTTGCAGCAGACTCTCAGCAAGCACATGATAGATTACTTTTTCCGATTTAGGATTTGTAAGTGAGAGTAAGAAGTTTACCAAAGAAATCAGATTTAACCATAATTTTAAGTCAGCAAAACAATATTAGGAATCAATAGTTTACCTGTGATAATTTCTTTATCACTTGTGATGGAAACAATAGATGAACTTCTGATCCCAGAAGAAGCAAATGCTAGTGCCTGGGGAAACTGCCACTCATCAGTACCAGGGCCAGCTGGCCCTTTGAACATTCTTATAAGTGCTCCACCAGCAGAGCCTGCTATTGACTTTCCATGTTGAAATAAAAATGGTGTTCCCTGGCCATCAGGAGTGTTTGGCTGCCACTTGTGCTGTGCAATATGAGCTGCTGGTGCATTTGTGTCAACTATTATGATAGCATCTGAAGACGCATGAATAGCTGCTGCAGGCAAATTGCAGCGTTCAGGGCCTGGGACAGCGTATGGTTTGATTTCTCTTGGATTCCGAAAGATTGTCTGACATTATATATTAATCAGAATCAGTTTTAACATATTGATTTTCACAGAAAATTGTCATTTATGGAAAAGAGGGGCTTATTAGATCACATGAGAAGTAATTGCAGATACAAGTCATATATAACACTGCATTAATGCTACCTGCAAATGAAGAACCTCTGAAAGTGGCATCTTCTTCATGTGAGGGACAGTAAGAAGTTGGGATGGAGTTTGTCCAAAATAAGCGATCTGGTCTTGTGTAGCACGCTGTTGTACCTTTATTTATATACATGTGTAAGAAATGAGGAAGAATTTCCAAATAGGGCAGACGTTTAGAAAAAACTAGCAAATCAAACTTACTGGATCAGAGATCTTATCAATATCAACTGTCCCTTCATATGTAATGTAAAAGAACATATTATTTGCCAATATAGCTTCTTTGCCTCGTTGCTTATACCTGAACATTCCAATTCACTCGTGTAAATTCAGGTAAGATGGCTTTAAACAACAATCTCCATGAATAATTTATTATTCAAAAGAATGTCAAGGTAAAGATTACAAAGGAAAAGAGAAAGTAACAATTTTTCTTAGGGAACAGAAAAAAGAATACCCAAATATGAGGTCAATCCATTCATGCAAATGTGCAGACACATGCTCACTCTCAAGTGCCATCCGATGTTTATGAATGAAATCAACTGGGTTTTGAGCCCATGGTGGGAGTTCGACAGAACCTGCATGTTGAAAAAAATAAAAATCAGAACTCAGTGCAACTGGCATTTATCAGACAATGA